CGTTTTTTATCACCACAGCATAACATTATAGCCTGATTGTTCTAACGCATTCGCACTACAGTCAAAAAGTTGACAGCGCATTTATCACGTTATATCGTCATCCACGTGGACAGCAGCGGTACGACTGAAAGAGTACGATCCCGGGTACAGGCGACGGAAATCCACCAGCTGAGACGAATCACTGGGATCACCTGTCTCGACATGGTCCGGAGTACAGATATTCGAAAGATTCTTGGTGTGCAACCGCTGTTTCTGCAGACTGAGAAGCGACAGCTGCGATGGTCTGGAAACATATTGCGAACGATTCCAGAAAGGAAAGCGAAACAGCTACAAATTCCTCAACTGACCGATGGTAGACATAGGGGACGGCCAAGAATGACCCAGACAGGTGCCAAGACCTGGTTTCTCTTAGCAGTCAGATTTTCCTTTGTCGAATCTGAGATGCTGGCTCAGCATTAGGAACGTTAGAAACAATGTTTGAAGTTACTGCCCCCCCGACCCGAAAGGATAAGCGGTCATCGAAACTGACTGACCGGCTATTTCAGCATTTCCACATTCCGCTTCAGCTACCTGACAAAGCTGCCGTACCGAAAATCTCTGAACTTGGGCTACGGAAGGTACTTAAGTCAAAAATAGAAAGTACTAATAGAAAAAAAGGAAAGAGCAACTTGTTTTAATCCCTTGGACGTTGGACCTGTTACAATTCCTTGACAGATGTTTGATACTACTAATTCAACTTTAATCGAGCCTAATGTGTGGCGCTGTTTGCCTGATCAATACTTCCAGTCAGGCGTGCAGCTTATGTCGAAACAATCTCTATAGCGATGTAGCGATAAGACCCATGACAAGTAGGTTTATGCTTTCATTTCGTGAGATGGCATCCACTAACTGAACTCGAAAAAATGAAACACGACTGCTCAGATCAGGATTCAACGAGATGAACCTTCGACATTCTGCTCCAGAAAACCAGGTCGAAGGATTATATGACGAAACAATGGCTATAAATTTTACGCAACAAGTTCTTAGGGAGATACAGAGAAGCAAGGGCATGAGATCATTACGCTTAACGTGAACAAATCTAAGGAATAGCGCACCTGACAGCATTCCAATATCTTAGACCACAGGTCACTAAATATACACAGCCAATCCTTTAATATAAGCTACACAAAGATCACACTAAAGCAGCAAAGCTTGAATGTGAACAGAGCTAACGATTCGAAGGATATAGCGAACTGCTTTGCATCAGAATGCATGTCATCCGATTAAAATACGCTTTTATGAATGCTGTTTGTGCAGTAAGCCCATATATCTTCAAGGGAGCGATTCTGAGGAAAGTGCTGCTCACGATGTTAAACATTTTGCATTCCGCTGGTACGTGGATGATTAATGGAAAGTGCATTATATAAAATGAGGTTATCTCTTCTTTCAATCCAGGCGTTGTAATTTACGTGGCGACAAATCTGTATGACACTAAAGAAAAGGTCATACAACTGAACAACCGGCAGGCAGTACTTTTAACGCAATGTGGTGCACGTGATACGTGTATCTACCGAGAAAAAGCATCACAGAGCACATACATCATCGAGGACCGGAAGAGTTTCTCTCGACGGAAAATAGGGCCGCAAACTCGGCTTCGGCGTGGACTTGATACTGACAGTATCATCGGCCTCCGGTCCAGAATCGGAAAGGTTTTCAAGTTCTTCGAACAGAGCCTCGATTTCCTGTTCGGCTGCCTTTTTGCCCCCTTCGTCCTCAGCGATCTGAAATCGAAAATTGATCAAAAAGTCAAATGGTATTTCACTTCGAAACTTTAATATACTTACAAAAATTAAATCACTGAATGCACGCAGTGAAAGACTAAAAAATAACAGCGAACTTTCCTTATTAACTAACGAGAAATGTGTAGTCGACAGAACGGCAGGTGAACATTTAAAAGCTGGGCTAAAAGTGGATGAAAACTTTTAGATGTGTTCATTTTTGTTGATAATTTGAAATTGCCAACTTCTAATCGATTATCGTTCTTAGTTCCACTCCCAGGATCATGTAGGCCGACAGAAGAATAAACTCACTGCCAACAATTCTACAACTAAAATCGACCTGATTCTTGATTCTACTCATACAAGTGCGCCTCTGTGCCAGGGGCCACTTTTACTGAACACCAAACGCATAGCATTGGTCTTTCAGTAAACGAACGAATCGATCCCGCGGTCACTTTCGCATGCTACGAAAGCTAGAATGATACGCATAAAAACTTGTTTGCTGATAAGTGAGGAGCTACTACGACAGTCATGCGACACTTTCGACACAACGAGACGAATCAGCAATGATATACACACAATCTGAGACATACGCATGCACACAGAAGAACAAACAAAGACACAGGAAAACGACACAGACTCAGGAATGGAGGATCAGTTCAGCTTTTCTTTGGTCTCTCATCTCAACTCGACTAAAGTCAAAGCGCCTTCGCCAACGCCCTTGCTAGCAAATCTATACCATTCATCGCAGATTCGCACGGCACTTTAACCAGAGTTATTTTGATCAGTATGCTGGTGAACGTTCTGCACATAACTCCCCTGTGTACTCCATGTTTACTTTACTGATGTACACAGTATTTATTAGAATATATGCTCTTTTTACCATTTATAATAATCGTGTGCAAATAATCATGTTGCCTGACATGTCTACCAGCTTTTCAGGCAGCTTGTCAGATAAAAGAAAAAAAGTTCCATGAAGGGATAGAGGAAAACTGATACGATAACGGCAAGCGATCAGAAACTCTTGGAAGCTCTTGCTCGAAAGTTCAGTCGATGTTCAAAAATGGATAAGATTATATCGTACTGGATAAAGTCAATTAAGATTTTGATACAGAAGCAAGGTTATGGGAAGATCTTGTAGAACTATCGCCAAATATGCCTGGTCTAACGTAGTTACAAGCTATTGATAGAGGTAATTTTAAATCGACTATCAAAGAGTCTGAATGAACAGCAGTCAAGAGATCAGACTTGCTTTCGAAAGAACCTCAACAAAATCTCATTGATTCTGCAGTAATATGTTCTTTACACGTTATGTTACAGTATGCTTTATGCATCTTATGTACTTCTTTATAACATTTTCTACGAATAATTTACTTTATATGCTTCTAATGAAGCACATAACTGTTACTTCCTTTGTCACTTTACTTATCATGCTTTTCAAACCTTAATTTAAAAGTCAATGTTCCATCACTGGGCTCGTCATTTTCAACTCCCGTATCTAACCTGCTTCGCAAAGTGTACTTCTCATGGCATTTCTGTCATTTAGTTACCTGTCATGTTGGCCCTCGTTTTACCATGAGGTAATACTAACTTTGTTTATAAGCAGGCTTGCATATTATTTAAATATAATATTACATTAAAGCTTCAAAACGGTTTTAAACATCATGCTAAGCAAAATGCTTCTAGACAAAGCGTAGTCCCGATGTTCTGAGGTAGCTATCACAGAGTAAATTTCCAATTCCGCCGGTTCTCACAACATTTCAGTTTCTGATGCCGGACTCACTCCGGCGTAAGGGCACATCCGAATTGCTTCTACTCGCATAGAGGATCCATCCACGCAGGCGATGACGCCAT